TGTATAAGAGACAGCCAAGAGACAGAGCCTGGGGAGCGCCCACCCCAGCTGGCCTGGCTGGAAGGGTCTGTGGTCTCTGTGCCGTTTCTGAGAAGCACATCCCTGTTACAGGGAACTTTCATAGCCCTTTTATTCTGCTGGCTTTTAATCAGCAGTGAGAAATGTCCCTGGAGAGCCCCAAGAAACACTCCCTGGCTTGGGGCGCTGCCTGAGTAAGCGCTTTCCTGGAGCCAGCCTGGCCCCTGCTTCTGCATCTGGAAGGTTGCTGCGGGGAGAAGAGGGCGAGCTCAATCCAGGGGCTGAGGGAGGCAGAGGGAACATCCAAGCCTTGAACTCTCCTCGTGGAAAGAAACGGAGTAAGAGACGCTTGATTACATCAAGCTGCAGAAGTCATCAAAGCCCCAGAGGTCACCAAGTAACCAGGGCACCGGCGGGAATACAGGGTAGGTTTGGGTCTGTATCATTCCCCTCTGGCTCCCAACCCAAAAGCTATCATAACAAAACAAGAAAACACAAAACCAGGCAGTTGCGTTTGCCAAGTTGACATAGAAAAGAAACAAAACAAAACAAAAAACGTCCAAGATAAATACATAGCCCCCATTTTGGAAGCATCTTCAAAAAGCTGGATCAACCGTTCTCAGCAGTGGCACAACCTTCCAGTAACATCTGTTGGGCTGGTGATTTATCGGCTTCCTTTTGAAGAGGGAACAGTTCGAGAAAAATCAAGCTCCCACCACACGCAGCTCCTGTCTTATCTGCGTAACAACTGGCCACGGCTATTGCCTCACAGCAGCAGGTTGGGAACCAGTAAGAAGTCTTTTAATGCAGCAGGTTCCTGTTTGCTAACAGAAAGGGTTGGCAGTGGTAGTAACTGGTTAGGAAAAAAAACCAAAAAAACCTTCTTCCAGGAAGCAGTACTTCAGGGGGGATTTAGGATGGCTGGGACCTCTCCCTGTGGATACAGAGATCGAAACCAGACATGCTCAAGCCTGCTGTCGAAAAGCAAAACACACCAGGCATTTCCATCGAGTCCATGGCAGTGGGATAGTGACAACACTGAGGTTTTGGCTTCCAGCGATCAGGCAGGCCTCCTAGACTCCTTGGCTAATGCTGGGGAAAGCTCCCAGATTGGGGGTTTGGTTTTAAGGGGAGGTTATTGCTCCCGACTTCTCAGGCTTTTTGCCCTTCGATAGGGCAGCTGCTTGCTTCAGGAGTTCTCTGTTCTTGGCCTGGAAACACAGTGAAAATGGGTATTTAATGGCAGGGATCATCATTCACTCTTGGGATCTGCCTGGACAGGAGCTGCTGGGCAGGTGAGAGCAGGAGGCAGATGTCGCTGCGCGGCACCACAGCACGAGCTCGAGTCCAGCATCTCACCTCTAACCACCTCGAAGGGGCCCATCCCCTCCCTCTCGCATCCCTCCCCTCCCTGCTGTAACTGAGAAGTGGGCTGAAAGCGAACAGCTTCCACAACTCCCAGTAAAGCAGCCAAGGACACTCTCTAAGGTCAGCGGGACTGGTTTTCCTTCCTCCCCTCCCCTGCTGCTGGCCGCCGCGCTTCGGCAGCGTGAGAAGCAGCTCTGGTGCCTCGAGCCCCCACCCTGACTCTTGTCGAAGGCCCCTACCCCATGCTCTCACATATCAAAAAGCAGGGTGGAGCAGCTCACGGTTCTCCAGCTTTGCTTCACCCTTGGTTTCTTCACGTGCCGTCAAAATTTTACCATGTTCCAGCTCTGCACTGACCCTGCATCTCTACCAGGGGTTTTCCAAACCCATCAGAGCACCAACATGTAGCAACTGACAGTCACTCCAGTTTGCACCTAATTAAAAATCATGGCAACTTATGAACAAGACTCTGCAGCCCTTTTTCCCAAACTTCTGAGCTCACTCTCCTCTCGCCTATGAAGTAAATCACGCTACAGCTGTAGGATATGGGGTAAAAACCCATGTGAAGCCAGATACAGGTCTTCAGCACTAGTTTCCAGTGAATTAATGAATATGCAAAGGGTTATTAGAGGAATTAAACCCTCTGCTCCAGTGCTGCATGTGGTAATGCAGCTTCTTTCACCTCCTGCAGACTGAAAGAACACAAGCACCCCTGCATCCCCCCGTGAAAAGACAAAATAATAAAAACAAAGAGCATGTTCAAAAAGTGAATCAGATGAAGACTTCAAGGCACCTGCAATACACCGAGAAGATTTGAACTTTTATTTTTGAATCAGCAAAGAAAGTTTCCAGAGCCTCAGTCAATACCAAAACATTTGGACACCAGAGAGCAGGAGTTCAGGGCAGTACCAGTCCGAGCTAGGTACAAAACAGCACAGACATGCAAACCCTCTCCAGGCAGGAGAGGCAGGTGGCTGTGGGCAAACCTGCTCGCGGATCTGACTCTTCCTCTTTCTTTTCCCATTTGAGCAAGTTTAAGGCTGTTGGAAGGTGCCCGACAGCTTTTCAGGGTAGACGTCCTCTTTGAGCTACAGCAGGGTAACACTGTCCCCACACACACCCAGCACCCAGCGTGCTCTGCCCTGGGGAACACTGCGAGGAAGGGGGTGCGTCTCCCACTCAGCCCTTGACCCCACGGCCAAGGCTGTCCAGGCAACCCAAAAGCAGTGGTTTGTGCTAACAGAAAACTGTCCGTGGAGAACTGGAGTCAAAACACCACCTCGTTTTTTGCAGGACTCCCAGTGCTATGAGACAGAAATGGCTCTGGGCTGACAGCAATACAGCAGAACAGAGACAGAAGGCTCTGGCTGTCGTCAGCCCCTCGCACACCAACCGCTCACGAGGAGCGGGACGTGCAACCAGCCCGCTGCACACCACAGACATTCCAACCTTCAGGCAGGCTGACAGTGCTTAAGAATGCCCGCTGTGACAAAGGCACCAGCTTTCTGACAGCAGCTGGAGTCTCCAAAACACCGTCTTCCCCTCTGAGAATTAACTTGGGTGTGTGCTGATGGAGGAGGGGCTGTTTTCTCAGGGGGAATATAAGCCTTTTGTTTGATCCCCTCCCACTTCTCATGGCTTGGGTTTTAGATCATTATATACCCCAGAGTAATCAAAGGGTTCAAAGTTCATTTCTGTGTCTGATTTCTTCCCTGTAACGAGCTCCCCTTTGACCTGATCTCTTCAGTGGCTCACAGCATATTCATGCCCAGGGTTTCCATGGCCATGACAAGAATCCTGCTCTCCCTGTTCCCTCAAGCTCAGGGACTCCTTTATTTGGAGTAGAGAGATACAGTGCTAGAGGAATTGCCAATTGTTTCTTGAGCTTTGTTCTTTCTGGTTACCGGTCACATAAATCACATTAAGAGCTACTTGGTGCAGGGAGCTGACAAAGGTTCTGCAGTCTTGAGAAACAGGCTCAAACCCGATTTTGGCAATAGGTAAAATGAGGTTTGAGGGTTCCTGTCTAGTCCATAGGGGACACAACACAGCACTTTATAATACAGTAAGTCTGAGCCCAGGTAGAGAGCAACAAGGAGGATATAAAGAGGGGTTATGCTGCACTGCAGCCTGGTACAGAGCTGGGGAGGGGCTGGCCTGGCAGAGCACAGGGGCTGAGAAGCGTTAGCAGAGCTGTGAGTGCAGAAGCTCACAGGGTGTTGTGATCAGGAGTGTCCTCAGTCACTCCTGGGTACAGCACAGCTCAGCAAATTAAAACAAAAATGCTGTCACCTGTAACTGCTCCATGACCTCCTTGTGTGTCTTCTCCATTTGGTTCATTTTTGCCCTCATCTGCGACTCCTGGTACTGCAGGTCAGCTTTCAGCTCTGTGATCTGTAGATAAACCGGTAAGGAGCAAGTGAGCTGGAAGAAGAAATTAATGCCTTCACCCCAGACACACCCTGCCACAGAAAATGCTTCTGCAGAAGTTGTGTGAGACTGGATGAGTTCAGAAACACACTGGGGTGGGCTGGGGGAGCACAGCAAGACCAGAACCACCTTGCTGAGCAGCACAGACAAGCAGGAGCAGTCAGGACTGTCTTTCTGCAAGGAACAGAATGTCTTTTTTTCTCAGTCTTGCTCCCACATAGAGGGTCTCTGAGACAGAAAATGACCCTTTGTGAAATAAGATCTCCTAGGTGGATCCAGAAAGTCTCTTTAACTTTGGAAAGAAGGCAGCCTGGAAACAGCCAGAAACTCTCTTGCTCACTCCAAGATAAAAAGCCAGGCTCCACTGGAGTGTGATCTGTGTGAACATGTCAGCATGCTGTGGGGGGAAGCAAGCCAAGGGCTGTACCTTCTTCTCCTTCTCCAAAATCATCTGATCCTTCTGGTGCAGCATCTTTTTTAAAGTAGCCACTTCCTCCTTCAGCTGGGCAATGATAACGAAGTGGTCAGTGCCAGGGGAGTCCAGGGCGAGGTCCGGAGAAAAACTGCAGCAAAGAAGAGGGAAACACTCTCATCATGACCCCTTCTCTTCACCGAGGCAGGGGAGCTCCCACAGATGACACTCGGAGGAGAATGGGAATCATTTCATGACACACGTGTCCTCCAAAGGCTCCTCAAATGCAGGTGTTACCTGTATCCCTGCCCTGGATGCCACATGGAACTTGGGAAACACATGGTATGACAGGCAACAGGGATCACCTGTGATATCAAGTCGTATTATTGCATGATCAGCAGGGACCTGGAACAGCTATGGGCGACCATCAGCCACTGTCTACAGCGACCATTCAAACAGTAAGGGTCCTTTTTCAAACCAAAACGCTGAGGACAGCGATCAGAGAGCTAATGAAACTTTACGCAACCACTTAGGAACTCTCTTTGGTCACAGGCAGTCCTTGGACATACAGCAAAACTTTTCACTAAATGTAAACAAACATTCTGGCAAGGAGGGAACATGAAAGAGAAACAAATAACCTTCAAGTTAAAAAAACAAAGCAAAGGGAGACACCTCCATTAAAGTCAGCACTGTCCTCAGCAGGGAGAAGGGGTAAAAAGACATGCTGGACTTTTGTATTTTGATTCCACCACGACAGAGCAATTTAGGAAGAAGCTTCATCATCACTTCAGAGCAGGAAAGACTCTCCAGGAGGACAGAGAAATAGCTGAGCACACCACTTGTACAGCACCAGGTACTCTAAACCTAAGCAACCAGCTGAAAACTTATCTGGACACTGGTAATTCACAATCTCCCCGAGAGATACCCAGTGATCCGGGCAGCCACGCTACAGTCTTGCGCTACAGGAGTATTTTGGATCATAAGACACACTAAGCTGCAGCCACAGGCCCAGGGAGCTCACCTGATCTTTGCCTGGCTTCCGTTCCTTACTGCTGTAATGGTAAACCTGGTTTTTATCTCTTGGTGCTAAAAGGGCAGCACACTCCCAGCCGCACACACCTGAAATTGCTGTATAAAAATTTTAACAGGAGTAAGGCAACAAAGCTTCATCTAGAAGATTACTTCAAGTCTGGCTGTTATCAGACAGCACTGCTGCTATAAAGATAAATAGCCAGGGTTACCTGAAGCCTGACTTTTTTTTTAAAGCCTCCAGAGTGGGTCAACACATGTCCTAAAGCCTGCATTCAGCTCTAAAGCTGGGAGCTGCAGTGGACTGGGGAAGGCACAGTTTGAACCCGAACTGCTGCCCCTCTCTAGTACGCTGCCACCTCCATCCTTCCAGCCCCAATCTGCACACTGAGGCAGAGGATGGGCTGCTCACCTCACACTGGAGTCTCTTTAGTGCCTGGAAAGAATCTATTTTCTAACTAAAAGCAGTCTGCATCAATTGGACTGGTTAGCAAGGATGCGGCAGAAGAAAAGGCTCTTTCCACCACTGTGCTGGGGAATCTACAGAGGGAAACTAAGCAGAGGCAGCTTCACAGATCTGAAAGTCACAGGATAGCCCTGCGGCACTGGGAGAGAAAACTTGGCAAAGGAAAACTCAGAACTGAGGGTCTGTAGGAGACAGCCCACGGTGGAAGAGTCTTGTGTGGTTAAAACATGCTGACAGCAGAGCCCACACCGTACAACATGGCAGGTCTCTGGGTACTCTGGAGCAAGCACTGTTGCTTGTCACGCTGGGCAGCAAGTGAGAGCACAAGAGGTTCCTACACACACACACCACCGGGGAACAACTCCATTTTAAAACCGTTCCCGAGTATGGTTTGCCCAAGTGGAAGCTGTGCAAGATGATGGTGGGTAGCACCTTTCTGTGTGCAAGCATGTTCCTAACAGTAGCTTTAATTTCCCACTCAGTGCAAATATGCTGGGGAGGAGAGAAAGAAAGAAAGAAAGAAAGGAAAAAAAAAAAAAATTGCTTACACCACTCGCTTGCCCAGGCAAGCTTCCCTCCTGCAGTGTCCTGGGGTGATAAAGAGTGCTGGGAGATGCTCACATTTCCTTCTCTGAGCAGCTCTGGCAGGAAAAATTCCCTCCTTGGAAGCTCCTGTCGCAGAGCACACTGCGGAGCTGGGCAGGTGAGAGCCGGCCCTGCCACCCAGCGGGGAGAAGGGACAGACGGGCCACCAGCCTCCCACTGAGCCGCTCGGCACAGCCGGTACCGAGTCCAGGGCTTCGGGGGCCTCCTCCTGCCCCTGGACTCTGCACCCACAAGTCCTAACAGTGGGCTCAGAGTGCCCAGACACCCCCTCCTGTCAGGTACATCAGCACAGGCAAGTATTTTCCTGTCCAGTTGCTGCACAATGCACCCTCAAATGTGTCAAGGTGCTAATTAAAGCAGCAGCTTCCGCCCCCCCCCCCCCCCCC